TACAAATTGATTTTTAATCACACATTTTTAATGAACATATTTCTCTTTTGGGGAAAATAGCTCAACTCCTCTTTGACCAACCTGAGATACACAGACCTAGTTTGTTGAAAGTGAGGCGGACTTGACGCACTTGCTGATGAAGGTCTAAGACTTACCCTTCCATATGGATTACAACTCAATATAAAGAAAACAACAAAAAAGCTCTCACAAGTTGAGCAGTAGGTAACATCATGGTAAATGGAAAAAAGATTGATGTCTAGGATTTCATCTTGTTTGGATCCACAATCAGTGCTCATGGAAACAGCAGTCAAGAGATCAAATCTCTCACTGCATTGGGTCAAAGTGCTGCAGGAGACTTCTTCAGTGTGTTGGAGAGCAAGAATGTCCCTGACCCAGCCATGGCACTTTCATCGGCCTCATTTACATGTGAAAGTTGAACCTTCCATAAGAAAAGCCTAAGAAAACGCGGTGCGTGTGCATTATGGTGCTGGCAAAGACTATTGAAAGGATGAAGGACTGCCAAAAAGACAGTCTTAGAAGAAGTACAGCCCGAATGCTCTTTAGAAGCAAGGCTGGCGAGACTTTGCCTCGTGCATTTTGAACATGTTATCAGGAGAGACTGGTCCCTTTTTAAAGGACATCATGCTTGGTGAAAGGGACGGAGGGGAAGACCCTTGAGAAATGCAGAACGACACAGCGGCTGCAATGATGGGGTCCAACGTGCCAATTGTTAGGGTGGCATAGGGTCGGTGGTGTCTTGGTTTGTTTTATACAGGGTCACGCTGAGTGGGCGCCAGTTTGGAGCCTAACAACGCATCTTCTAAAATGTGCATATCCCAAGGCCCAGTCACATCATACCCACTAGCAGCCACTCCTCACTTTTGGCTCCAGTCTTACTTTCTGTCTCTATGGATTTGCCTTTTCTACACATTCTACATAAATGGAATCATATATGACATTTTGTTTCTGACTTCTTAACAGCATATTTCCAAGGTTCATCCACACTGCAGGGTAAATCAATACCCCGTTTCTTTTTATGGCCAAATAACATTCCAATGTATGTGTATATTTTTGTTTATATATTCATCAGTTAATTGATACTTGAGTAGTTTCCACTTTCTGACTATTAGGAACAATGCTAATATATGTATTCATGTATAAGGCTTTATTTTGACATATTGTTATATTTTTCACATATATGGAGAATTATTGAATCAAATGGTGATTCTATGTTTTGCTTCTTGAGGAGCCGGCAAACTGTTTTCTTTAACAGTTGCATCAGTTGGCCAAGTAGCTGTCTTCCAAATTTTCTGGCATAGACTCGTGACTGCTTTCAGTGTTTCATCAGCTTGTTGAAATATATCTATTGATATTCCTTCAATTCCTGGAACCTTCCTTTTGACTAATGCTGTTTTAGTCTGGGTACTTTAGAGAAACAAATCCACAGAAACTCATGTATAAGAGAGAGTTTTATATAAAGGATAAGTGTGCATCAAGAAAACATCCCAACCCAGTGCTGCCCAAGCCCACAAGTCCAACATTAACCCATATGTCCAAGACCAATCCACAAAGTCCTCCTCCAGCTCACAAAATACACACTATGATGCCGACTGCAGGAGAAAAGCCGAGTCAGTGAATGTGTAAGCATCTCAGCGCTGGCAGGGGTCTCCACACGGGTGCTCCAGCACCCAGGGCTGCATTGGGGTAGGTCCATGTGGCTTCTCCTCAGGGATGTCTCGCAGGAAGTGAGCCTTGCCAGCTGAAGCAGGGAACTGGCTAAGGCAGCTGCACCCTGGTCCCATCATCAGAAAGCAAGAGACCCGAGAACTAGAAAGGCAAGGCTCACCGAGCCATTTATCTCTCCACACTTCAATTAACCCCACCTGTGTTTATTGGCCAGGTTGGCCCAATAAACTAACTACCTCAAATACACTCAGTGTATCTTGGGCTTCTTCCTTCAGTAGTATTGCTTCTTTAGCATAAGCTATCTCTTGAAGAGGTTGAATGTCAATAAGTTCTTTTTGATACGATCACTCCGTGTAGTCCTTCCATCTTCTTTTGATGCTTCATACATCGTTTATTTTTTGCCCATAGAGTCTTCAAATATTGCAACTTGAGGCTTGAATTTTTCCTTCTGTTCTTTAGCTTGATAGATGCTGAATGTGTCCTTTTTAGTTTTCTAACTCCAGGTCTTTGCACCTTTCATTATAATACTTTCATTTGTCTTTTTGAGCTGCCCTTTGAAATTTTCTGTTCAGCTCTTTGACTTCATTATTTCTTCCATTTGCTTTAGCTACACGCTATGTTCAAGAGCAAATTTCAGAGTCTCTTTAATGTTTCCTTTCTATCTTTTTAATTATCTTTTACTTTCTTCATGAAAGATATTCTTGATGCCATCCCATAGCTAATGGGGTTCTTTTCTCATTGTCAGCAAGTTAATTGCTACTCATAGCCACTTTACCGAAGGTTTTCAAAACTAGAAATCTTCATGCTAGCAGATAGCTTCATCTGTTCTCCTGAAGAGAGATGGGTGGGTCTGACCAGCCTTAAGGTTCGAAGACCCACCAGGGGCTTTTACATCTGTAGTACATACAAATGCCTGATTGAAAAGAAACCAAGGGTCATTTACACTTATGGATAATAGTAATCTTAGGACCCAGACTGCCTAATGACTTAAGCTTTGGGGTGCTAACCACAAAGTTAGTGGTTAGTCCAAGCTATTCGCTCTCGTAAAGATGTGCAGTCTCAGAATTTCTGTGGAACAGCCTTACGCTGACCTTATGAGTTAGAATCTGCTCTATGGCAGTGGTGTCCAATGAGTCAAATCTCTTCTTGAAATTTAGGTGGGGTATATATACTTAAGGCCATATTTTGACTCTCATTTTATTTTAATTTAATCTAAAATGTAAAATGCTTATTTTAATTTTCTTCAGATTCACCTTGAACTGAGCAATTGATGGTCTGTCCCATACTTCAACCCCTCATGGCCTCTTCCTACTCTGCTGTCGAGTCAGTACTGACTCATGGTGACCCCCTGTGGGTTTCTGTGACTAGAACTGTTTACAGGAGTAGAAATCCCAGTTTTTCTCCTGTGGAGTTGCTGGCAGTTTTGAACTGCCAACCTCGTGGATTGCAACCTAATGTATAACCACTATACCTTCTCATCCCACAGATGTAGTCAGTTCGATTTTGGGTCATTCCAACTGGAGAAAACAGGTATAATCTTCACTTATGTGGTTGAAAAAAATTATTTGTGATGAATTCTTTGGTCTTGCAAAATTCTATCATTCAGTTTCTACCTTTGTGTCTGTCACCAAGGCCATATTTTCCAACCACTATTTTTTCTCTCTCTTTTTTCAACTTCTGCATTGTGATTGTTGATAATTATCAATGCATCTTGATTGCATGTTTGATTGATTTCAGCCTAGAATTCTTCACTTTCTTCCTCATGTGCTTCCATGTTTGGTCCATAAATTTGGATGGTAGGTATATTGACTGGGTGTTCTTGTCCATGTATAGACAGTATCCTCCCACAGACAGCATTCAAATGCCCTTTTTGATGGTGAATGCATGCCATTCCTCTTGCATCTATCGTCCCTGGCATAGTAAACCACATGACTGATTCTCAACGGCCAATGCCAGTTTATCTCAGCTCACTAATGCTGAAAGGGATCATTTATCTAGATTGTATCCATGTGATTTTCCTCTACCCTTTCAGTGTGCTAGTACACTAATTCACGCTCTCATCATAGCGTACCAAGATGTTCTTTTGCCTTCAAGTCAGCACTTCACATTAAAATTATTTTTGTTTTTACAGCATGAGAGAAATGTTTACTTCCTTTGAATGTAAAAATAATAAAATATAATATGCAGCAATTATTTACCATGATGATTGCTGGAAATATTATTTCAGAGGTTGTTTAACTGTGTTGTGGTTGTGACCATTATGTTCACCTGAAGTTTCTAAAAAGAAGTCCATCAGTATAATGAAGATAGTGAAGCTCTTCAACCCAAATAACTAAACCTCCAGAACCTCAAGTCCCTTCATAAGCTCTGAAATTTGCCCAAACCAGTCTTGTCCCAACCTTGATGCAAGCAGTCCACACTCTCAACCGTCCAAAAGGGTGGGTGGGTGGTTGAGTCCATCCAAAGGTGCGTTGGAAGGACTTGCTGATTGACTTCTGAGAAGTCAGTCATTGAAAACTCTATACAGTGAATTTCTACTCTGATCTACATAATGTGGACATGAGGCAGTGCCTTTTTGGCTGTGGTGTTCCACCAGCCCACGGAATGAGTGTAAATGCTGAATCCTATGAGCAGCCTAAGTGGGTTTGCTTTGAACCACCCACAAGCCTTTATTCCTCAGTCTACCCCATGCTAAGCTTTTAATAGAGAATGATATTTGGTATTTAGTATAAAGGCTGTGACCAGTGGTATCATGATTATGTTTTGGCTGCTAG